TCAGAGCCAAAGGCATCAACATTTTAACTATCCCTCCTTAGGGTTCTAACGCAGGTGTACACATCCTGTTTGACAGCAATCATAAGGGAATCAAAGGATACATAACCCAGAGGAACATACCAGTTCATTTTGGAAAGAAGAACAGACAAGTTAAAATATGGACAGGTGATACCTGGGAGGCAAGCAATGAATTGTTGAGGAGTTTGGTTGAAGGGGATCAGCCTAGCATGTCACACCTCTGCATACCTAAGAGCTGGTCTAGTGAACAGGAAGCTGACATGAAAAACACTGAGCCGGGCTGTGCACCCTGGCATCAGTATCCTCTGTCTCCTCAAACCAGGCTGATTTCCGCTGCTGGCTGAGGTTCTCGAATAAACCCATTCACATGTTAGAGACTTTCTGCATATTCTCTTCAATAACCACAGACCCTGGCCTTTTACCAGGGGGCTCCAAGCTTTCATGATGCCAAAGCCCATGAACTTCAAACTCAGCTAACTTGCAGTAATTAATAACCCCAACTCATATTCATTAGGTTCCACAATGTGCCAAGCTCTGCATTAAGTGTCATCTTATAAAGTAGGTCTTGAGACTCCATTATGCAAATAATGGAAGCAAAGCAGTTTGCTTTCAAATACTTTCTATTATCTACTGTTTCCCTCCAGACCTTCAGGGCATTGGTTGCCCAAGTTAGGGGTGGCTTTTTACTCTTACAAGTTCAGCCACCTGTGTTAGTTTTTTTTTTTTAATTGCTGTGCAAAATACCTGCTAGGAACAACTTTGAGGAGGAAAAGTTTATGTGGAGTTCACAGTTTGAGAGGTTCCGTCCATGGTCAGCTGACTCCATTGCTCTGGGTTTGAGGTAAGCCATGGGACAGAGAGGGTGTTATCCCCTCTGTCTTACTTCCTCAAACTACACACCTGCTTATAATTACTACCCAGTAATACATTCAAATTATTTACTGATGAAGCTATGGCCCTCGCCATTATCTATTTTTTTGGTGCTGGGGATTGAACCCAGGGCCTTGTGCTTGCGAGACAAGGCACTCTACCAACTGAGCTACACCCCTAGCCCTGCTCTTGCCATTATCTAAAAGGTCCACTTCTGAACATTTCTGCATTGGGGATCATGCTTTCAAAAGATGAACATGGGGGGGGGTGCATTTCTAAGTCCAAACCATAATACTACCTCACTATGATTCCTTTAATAAAATTTTGCACTTGTTCTAGGATAACCAAATAATTTACCCTCCAAATCAGGACACTTTCTGTGAGTAAAAGAAGGTAGTATTAACCATTAGGCAAGAACATCATGCCTAAACTGGGACTATCCCAAGAAACCTCAAAATACAATTTTCTCATCTGTTACAAACTGTTTCTGCTCTCTGGAAATACCTGCATTTCATTTAAACCTTTGGCTTCAGCAGACAATTTTGTCTGCTATGCAGGGAAAATTTAAATCACTAGACAGCATTCTCCAGAACTTTTTTGTTTTTTGGTACTGAAGATTTAACCCAAGCGTACTTTACCACTGAGCCATATCCCCAGACCCTTTTATTTTTTAATTTTGAAACAGGATCTCACTAATTTGCTTAGAGCCTTGCTAAGTTGCTGTGGCTGGTGTTGAACTTGTGATCCTCCTATCTCAGCCTCCTGAGCGGCTGGGTTAACAGATGTGTGCCACAATGCCTGGCTTCTCTGAACAACTTCCTCCTCCTCCTCTTCCTCCTTCTTCTTTCTCTTCTCCTTCTTCTTTCTCTTCTTATTTTAAACATTTTTATTAGTTGTTGATGAACCTTTATTTTATTTATTTATATGTGGTGCTCAGAATTGAACCCAGTGCCTCACATGTGCCAGGCTGGTGCTCTACCACTGAGCCACAACTCCAGCCCCTCCCTTGAACTTCTTGACACATACAAATCTACCTGTACCTTTGCCCATATTTTCTGATTATAGTGGGAGACCATCTTGTAATCTAAAACTAGCTCCTCTTTCTGGACTCTGAATCCCAGCTCCCTCACACCTCCTGGGGGTGAGAGATGGGTGGAGGAGATGACTTGTCTGCATCTTCAAACCTCTTCCCTACTGGCTCCTCTATTCAGCATTTAAATACGTTCATATCTTTCCTATCTTAAGATCATCTGCGCTGGGCGCTATGGCCCATGTCTGTAATCCTAGCGGCTCGGGAGGCTGAGGCAGGAAGATTGCAAGTTTGAGACCAATCTCAGCAATATGGCAAGATCCTAAGGATTTAGCAAGGCCCTATCTCAAAACAAAACATAAAAGAAGGGCTGGGGATGTGGTTCAGGGGTTAAGTGACCCTGGGTTCAATCCCGGACACCAAAAAAACCTTTCCCTCTACCATATGTTTTCCTTTTTTTTTTTTTTGGCGGGGGTGGGGGGGTACCAGGGATTGAACTCAGGGGCACTCAACTACTGAGCCACATCCCCAGTCCTATTTAGTATTTTATTTAGAGATGGGAGTCTCACTGAGTTGCTTAATGCCTTGTTTTGCTGAGGCTGGCTTTGAACTCATGATCCTCCTGCCTCCGCCTCCCAAGCTGCTGGGATTACAGGTGTGTGCCGCTGCACCTGGCCTATGTTTTCCCTTTTCTCTCTCATCATGTATTTTCCTTCTCCTTCAAAAACAATTTTTTTTGAAAGAATATGACTTATATGCTCTTGAAGAGGTCTACAAGGCCTGGTAAGCTGTCTCCTGTCCATCTTTCTATCCTCATGTCAAATCTTCTCCATTTCCCTCTCCCGGTTTCCCTCTTGGTAGATGCCCTCTGTGCCTCAGCACACACCGCAAGGCTTTGCCCGAGCTGGCCCCACTGCGAAGAGCAGTCTTTTCTCCTCCGTTTCATAAAGAGTCCTTTGGGTGCAGTTCAATAATTTGCAGACCATTTCATTTCTCTCCAGCCACCTTCATGGTTCAATTGAACAATTACCCTTTTAGCATGGAACCCTGGAAGAGGTAAAGGAAAAGGAAAAGCATGTATCAAGTGCACAGTCTTGCCCCAGACAGAGTACGCACATAAAACCTCAACGTGCTTTGACTGGGGAGGGGGATGTCATGTAGTTGGAACTCACTTACTGGCTCCTCCAGAACTGTGGCTCTGCTCTATGGGTCCCCATCTTTCCAGATCCAAAGAGAACCTGAAAAAAATTTTTTTGAGCAAAGGCTTGGACCCCTATTATCTTCCTTTATCCTCTCCATCAAAGCAGAATCAAATTTTCACCTCTCCCTCTTTTTCAAAGTTTTATATCAGAATTGGGGCAGGGAACTTTTTTTTTTTTAACTTTTAAAGATCCAGGCAGAAGAGAAGGAGGTCTACATTTTGCTGATGCAACCACTTTGTAGTATATAATGTTTTACTGTGCCCCACCCCAACACACCCTTAGAAAAGGGTGGAGGAAATCTCTCTGGGAGATGATCCAAGAAGGAGGAATGAGGAAAATGGATGGAGAAGGGAGAAAAGTTAATAAAAGATGTGCCAGCTGATTACTGCTGTGGACAATAGGAGCTCAGACCTTCTGAAGAACCATGAAGAACAGGCATCAGAATAGTTCAGAGAATATTTATCCACTAACTGGTCACTTCATTGGCTGGTGCACAAAGCTCCAGTTGCACCTGTGCTTAGGCTGGGTGGCCTCCTACATTTGCAAAAAAGGACAAGAAATGGAAAAACAGAACCCATCCAGAGTATAAACGTCAAGTAGGACTCAGTCATAAAACTGCCCATCACAGAGGTGAACAGGCTGTGCCACAGAGACCTTTAAGTGTGTGCTATAAGCAAGATGTTAGAATGGTTGTCTTCTTGCTTGATTATTTGGGGCTGACAGTGTGACAGGTGTCAGGAGATTAAAGGAAGTGTCAGGGATAGCTCCCCTTGCAGAATTTACAGGGGGGGAGGATTAAAGAGAAATGGTGTTGTTGTTCTTGGAGGCTCCTCACCTGTGGCTGGAAAATTGAAAAAGGATGACTGGGAAAGAGACTTCTTTGCAAATAGTTGTTACCTCTGGACATAAGCCAGGTGAGGGGGACTCAAGAAGAATAGAGAACTATGAGAAGTACGTCCTACCAGTGAGAGTCCTAGGGGACAGCAGCCCAGGAGATAAGCCCAGGAGAGTAAAAACTGTGAATTAAGATCTGACTCCCAAGGAGCCAGGACTGTGGAGCCATGTCCTAGATCCTGGAGGGAATCTGTTATGGCAGGAATGTTTATGATGGATAACCGAGGGCACCCTTAACAGACAGTCTGCTTGGTTGGCCTGGGTGCTGCACAACAGGGGCATTTGGTGGGGTAAGAGAGGAGAATGGAGGTGTGTGGCCAGATGTCCAGGGACTGAGGAAGGAGTTGCAAGTGATCACCCAGAACAGAGGTGCATCCACTCCTGACCAAGGGTGGAAGAAAGGGAGCCATAATTGTCTCCCAAGAGAAAATAGTTCCTCTTCATCATTTGCCAGAAATGCAAAGCCACTCAGCCAGGTAAGAACTCCCAATCCTTCCCCATCTTTCTATGAGAGGGAAACACAGATGGGGGAGACAGTTGAGAGAGTATATCAGTCAGGGATGCAGCGGGGAGAGGTAAGCTGGGAGTGAGAAGAGAGCTTTTTCCTGCTCTTTCCCATCTCAGGCTCGTATTCCAAACAAATCCAAGCCAGGAAAAGCAGGGATTATTTGATTATAATTTAGGTTCGGAGTTTTCTACATGACATGGGACAGGAAGTTTCCCTCTCTTTCGATTTCTCTCTCTGTCCTGTACTGGGGTGCTCTACCACTGAACTACATCCCCAGTTTTTAAATTTTGAGACAGAATATTGCTAAATTGCCAATGCTGCCCTGGAACTGTGGTTTCCCCCGCCTTGGACTTCCTGGTAGATGAGATGACAGGTGTGTGCCATCGCACCCAGCTGGAGACTCTCATTCTGAACTGAAACCAGAAACCAAGCCCACGTTCTCAGGGCAGGGGAACACTACCCCAGTGAGTAAGAGTGAAGAAACAGTGGGAGACAGAACTGAAGTTGCATGTGGATCACAATCCCTGAGATAGAACGGGAATCGGACTGGAGAATCCGCTCTGAGAAGCCACTTTCTCTACATTCAACTGGGAGGGCTCAGGGAAGACCTGGAGGTAGAAATCATTTTCTTCTCCCTGATAGGCTTAATGGATTGTTTATGATTATTTAGGGAGACAGGTTTAATAAACCTGAGTACAGTTACCTTCTGGCTATCAGCATACTCGCTGTAGCAGCCAGGAAGGTGCCCCTCACTCTCCCTTCAAGAGAAAACTTATCTTCAGCTGCAAGGAGTACCGTGAACTGACAGCCTCTGGCTGTAGCACTGTCAGGATCCTGGGCAGCCCGGCCAATAGCTACACACCGTACTGGCACTTGGACATTCTTGCACGGTGAGTGTACCTGGACACTCCTGCCCAACACAGGTTCCCTTTACTGTGCAACCTTTGTTCCAGACCTCACTGTTGAGCCAGCAGAGATTGTGAGAACTGCTTCATGGCCTGAAGATCTCCCTACTCCATCTGCTCCTTCCCCCTTTGATCTTTTCCAGGCAGTAACCCCCACTAAGCTTCTTTTACTCCTAATTCCAGCATCTGCTTCTCAAAGAACCTAACAGATATACTCACTGAACTTTAAACTCTGAACATTATGCACCATGACCTGTTTTTTTTTGTTTTGTTTCTTGCTTTAATCTTATTTGAAAGATTTTTTCATTTTGTGTTTTTAGTTGACAAAAATTTGTGTATACACTTGACATGTACACCATGCTGCCACGTGACATTGTAAAATGGCTAGATCTAGCTATAATACATGGATTACTTCACATACTTGGTTTTTGTGATGTGTACATTTAAAATCTACTCTCTTATCAATTTCCAAGGATACTATGATTGTTATAAATCTTTTTTTTTTTTTTTTATTTTTTTTTTTTTAATATTTATTTATTTATTTTTTTTTTTTTAAGTTTTCAGCAGACACAACATCTTTGTTTGTATGTGGTGCTGAGGATCGAACCCGGGCCGCACGCATGCCAGGTGAGCGTGCTACCGCTTGAGCCACATCCCCAGCCCTGTTATAAATCTTAGTAACCATTTTGTGCAATAGATCTCTTGAACTTGTATTTCCTGTCCAACTGAAATTATGTATCCTATGACCAACATCTCTCTACCTACCCACCCACCCCTAACCCCTGGACACTACCATTCTACTCTTTATTTATGTGAGTTTAGCTTTTTAAGATCCTATGTATAAGTGAGATCATGTGGTATTTGTCTTTCTGTACCAGACTTCTCTCACCTTAACACAATGTCCTCTGGTTCATCTATGTTGTTACAAATGACATAATTTCTTTCTTTTTAAAAGCTGAGTAGTATTTCATTGTGGTATTGCCCACATTCCCTTAACCATCCATCCTTTGATGGACACTTAGGTTGTTTCCATATCCTGGTTATAGTAAATATGGCAATAGCAAACATGGGAGTGCCAATCTCTCTTCAGTATACTGATTCATTTTTCTTTGGATACAGGTCAAATATTGAAATTGCTCTATATTATTTTATCTTTTAAATAAGTGGGAAGACTAATAAAACAAAGTTTCATACTCAAGCCCAAATCAGATCTACCTTTATTTTTAAAAATCCTGTCCCCTGAGGCTTGGTGCTCATAAACTTTAAGAACTAACCATTTCTCTTCTTCACTTAGCAGATTCTATTCATCCTTGAGATCTTAGCCCAAATATCATTTCTCCTCCACAGCTTTTTCTCAATCCTCTTGACTCCAACTTTCCTAAGTGATCTTATTATAGGTTCTTCTAGTTTATTTATTTATTTATTTATTTATTTATTTTGGTACTGGGGATTGAACTCAGGGGCACTCTACCACTAACTCTACCACTAAGCCACACCCTCATCACTATTTTGTATTTTATTTAGATACAGGGTCTCATTGAGTTGCTTTACACCTCACCTTATTGAGTTGCTTGGCACCATGCCATTGCTAAAGCTGGCTTTGAACTTTCAAACCTCCTGCCTCAGCCTCTGAAGCCTCTGGGATTACAGGTGTGTGCCACCTTACCCGGCAGATTCTTCCAGTTTTTGCTTTGGCAGGATATGTCAAATTTGTAGTTACTTGTCCAAGATCAGTTGTGAGCCTAGGGGTCCCATTGTCACAAATCTGAACTATTGGTCATTGCTAATTGCCCAGCACTGAGGACAGTGTGTGGATCATAGAAGCTGCTCAATAAACATTTGATTAAGGGTTGAATTTACTGAACTAGAGATGTGAAATGTTGGTACAGGACTAGAATTGAATATATGTACGCCTTCATTGTGTCTTTGGACTTGAGACACCATTTTTGCTTCCTCATTACAGCACAAATTCATAGACTTGAGCGTTTTTTAGAAGAAACTTAAAGATTATTCAATCTGAGGATCCATCTGATGTCAGAGATACTGCAGAACATTCAAGCACATGGTGGTCCAGTCTTAGCTTGAATACTGGGGACAGAAACTACCTCTCAAGGCCACCCACCCGTTGCCTCCTGGACAGCCCCAACTCTCAGAAAGTCTGTTCTTACCCCGATGTTCTGATAATCTATTCCTGAATCTGGGTATAATCTTCCTATAGCTTTGATCAACAATGTGTTCATACAGAGTAATTTTAAAGTCTTTATATAACAATATCAATAACCTAGATCAACTTTGGTCCAAACTGCTTTTGAGAAAAGGAGCAAATTTCCCCCTCTGAATAGTATCTCAAGTAGGAACAAAACTGGCTTTAAATAGAAAGAGTTCCTTCACGTGTCCATTCTGAAGATAGCAATTGAGTGCTAATGTGTGACTCGGGGTGGGGGTGGGGGTGCGGGCAGCAATGCTAAGACATACAGAGGGAACACAAGATGGAGTCCTTCTAGGGGAGATCATGATATTTATAAGATCACATGACCACAGCTACATAGGAACTACTGATAGCTGGGTCAAATGACAGGCTCGGGAGAGTTTGGGGCATGTGGTATCTATGGGGGTCTGGGCACACAGAGGGTAAGAAGTCTAGAAAGTATTCTTTGGGAAGTAGGATTTGAGCTGAGTTTAGTGAATGGACATGAGTTAGTGGACAAACCATCTGACGATCAGGCCCAGAGACAGAAGTCTTTCTGTGAGGGCTAGGGAGGGGCTCAGTGAGAATGGAGGAAGTTAGAGTAAGGATTATTTCCCTTTCCTCAGGACTGCCAACCAGTCTTGTCCACAGCTTGTCTTGTCCACAGCCTGGGGGCCGGACCAAGTCACTTCTGACATGGGCGCTCTTCCTTGGCTGCTTCTTTTCCTGCTACTCCAGGGAGGTGAGTGACAGTCCCTCCTACACCGGACGGTCTTCTCCACTCAGTTCTCCTGTTCTGCTAGTGAGACCCTTTTTGGGAGTTGTCTGTGTCAGGTTTTTCTGGGAGTACAAGGAGCAGGGTGTGGCTTCAAGGCAGGATCTAAAGAGAAGGACATCTGGGAACACAGAAGGGGGAGAAGTCCCAGGGAGGCAAAAGAGAAGTTAAATTTGAAGAGTGAAAAGTCAGAGGGAAGCCCACCCTGGTGGGTTCTACTCAGGAGCAATGGAGCCTACAGCCAGAAAAGGTCGGATTGAGAAGTTTCTCGATTGTGTTGGAGCCACAGCTCCTGAGGCCAAGCTCCGCGGCCCAGAGAAACCAGCCCTTTTCTTCCTACTTCTACAGCCAAAGGGAACTCTGGAGATGATGCTGACACCGAGGAAGTAGTTGCAGTCCTTCAGGAGTCCATCAGCCTCCCCCTGGAAATCCCACCGGATGAAGAGGTTGAGAACATCATCTGGTCCTCTCAGAGAAGGCTTGCTACGGTGATGCCAGGGAAAGAGGGACAGCCAGCGACCATCACCGTGATTGACCCTCACTACCAGGGTCGAGTGAGCTTCCTGGAGCCCAGCTACTCTCTGTACATCAGCAATGTGAGCTGGAAGGACGCAGGGTGTTACGAAGCTGAAGTCAACATGAGGACTGCTCAGCTGTCAATCACCCAACTGTACCATCTACGCGTCTACCGTGAGTTTAGACTGGGGACCGACTGGGGACCGCAAAAGTGTCGCTGACTTATGCCCTCCTGAGCGTCCCAGGCTATAGAGTTAGGGGTCTCAGGACTCAGGGTTTGGGTCTGAGGGGACAGGATGAGAGGGCAAACCCCTTCCAGGGTGCCCAGCTCCAGTATCTGAGCTGCAGCAACAGGTGGGTGAGCTAGAGAATAAAGGATGGGGCACTAAAGGGTGTCCCCACACAGGGATGAGGGGCTTTGGGTACACACCCTCTCAGGGTCTTTTCTCTCCCAGTGAGATTGTGTGTCCTAGTGATGAACACCACTTCCATTCTTGAGCACTAATAATCCCCACTGTGCAATTTGAGGGGACTTACCAATGTCTTCCATTTACTTGAACCCAAATTTCTTTTTTTTGTGCTGGTCACACTGAATCTACTTAAATCTTGGAGAGACAATGGTTAAAATACAAGTGCCATTGGGAGAGGTGATAATATTTTGTAAAATCAAAGAAGTAGAAGAGGGTTTGGAGGAAGGTGGGATATAAAAGTTAAAAAGAAGAACGAGGCATGGTGGCACATGCCTATAATCCCAGTGATTCTGGAGACTGAGGCAGGAGGATGACAAGTTCAAAGTCAGCCTGGGAAACTTAGCAAGATCTTTTCTTACAAAAAAAAAAAAATATATATATATATATATATATAATTTATTTATTTATTATATGTGGTGCTGAGGATCGAACACAGGGCCTCGCACGTGCAAGGCGAGTGCTCTATCTCTGAGCCACAACCCCAGCCCCTTAGCAAGACCTTTTCTCAAAGTAAAAAATTAAAAGGGTTGGGGATGTGACTCAGTGGTAGAACACCCTTGGGTTTAAAAATCTTTAATCCCAGCTGGGTTCCGTGGCACCACGCCTGTAATTCCAGTGGATGGGGAGGCTGAGGCAGGAGGATCGTGAGTTCAAAGCTAGCCTCAGCAAAAGCGAGGTACTCAGCAACTCAGTGAGACCCTGTATCTAAATAAAATACAAAACAGGGCTGGGGATGTGGCTCAGTGATTGCATGTTCCTGAGTTTAATCCCTGGTACACCTCTACCCCCAAAAATCTTTAATCCCAGTATCAAAAAAAAAAAAAAAAGAAAAAGAAAAAGAAAAAGAAAAAAGTAAAATAGAAGGCATAAAGAGGAGGTAGAAGATAGAAGACACCAACGTCAGCTCAGTCTATCTTAGCAGTTGCCTGGGGACCCTGGAACCATAAGTGTTCTGGAGGTTTTTTGTTTTTTTTTTTTTGATGTTGATGGACCTTTATTTTATTTGTTTATTTATATGTGGTGCTGAGAATCGAACCCAGTGCCTCACACATGCCAGGCAAGTGCTCTACCACTGAGCCATGACCCCATCCCTGAAGGTTATTTTCTGTTTGGTTTTGTTTATTTGTTATTTAGGTGAACGGGCTCTCGAAGCAGCATCCATACCCCAAGGATGAGGAGCTTCAAAAATAGATTCAATTCTGATTGTTCAGTGAGTCTTTGTGTTTTTTTTTTTTTTTTTTCTCTTCTAGAACGGCTGTTGAAGCCCAGAATCACTGTGAACTTTGAGATCTCTGGGGAAGGTTCCTGTAATATATCCCTGACATGCTTTGTGGAGAAGGGAGGCATGGATGTGACCTACAGCTGGCTCTCCTGGGGGGACAGTGCTGGCTCAGCCCACGAAGGCCCCATCCTCAGAGCATCCTGGAGGCCTGGGGACAGTGCTCTTTCCTATACCTGCAGGGTCAGCAACCCCATCAGCAACATCAGCTCCCATCCTATCCCTGCTGGGTCTTTCTGTGCAGGTATAAGGACCCCAGAGACAATCCCTAAGCTCATGCAAGACCCATGCCTCCAGGCCCCATCTCTCCCCATCCTGATTCTTCTTAAGAGCACACAGATTCCAGAATCTACACCCCTCCTATTAGCAGCTTGATACCGGAACTGGGGAGTACGATGCTCCCAACTTCCAAAGATCTCTTCTCCACTTGAATTGAGATTGCTCCCCAGAGCTCAGTTCCTGAGCTTCTGTGCATGGAATATATATTTCCAGAGCTACTTGCAAAGAGACATAAACCGATTGTAAACCTGAGACCCGTTCTTGTGGAGCTTGGGGAGGCTGCCTCCTAATCTTGCTCTTCTCGCTGATGAGCCCCTTTCCCTCCCTTCTATCCATCCCAGATCCTGGCTATCCTGAGAAGTCTTCCACAGTCTTCTGCCTCCTGGCTAAGGGCTTGCTGCTCCTCTTGCTCTTGGTAATTCTAGTGGTGAGCCTCTGGGTCATCCGAGTCTACAAAATGCCAAGGATGAGGTATCTCAAGAGAAACAGAATGAGACTGAGGAAAAGGGGGAAGGCTGGCCCCAGCCCAGCCTGACCTGGGTCTTGACTCTGGCTTTTCTTTCCAGCCTTGGGGATCTTCCGGCCAGGTGGGCAGAGGGGAAGCGGGGGTTCTCAGGGGTGGATACTCAAAGGACCATATTTTCCAAGAGAAGACCACCTGGCAATAAAATCAAATTAAGTACCCACTACTTCTGGGGAGCCTTGTTTGGTCCTTTTGTCCTCATTGGTTGCTCTAGCAAAAACCACTTTCTCTTTTTCTTTGCATCCTAGATCCTTCACCAAGCCCACATGCTTTTCCCCTGCCCTTGGGGACTGAGTTGAATGACCCACTCATCATGAGGTGTTGTTTGCTTTTACTTTGCCTTCCTCATAGGGTGACCGTTCTGTTGGACTAAGAGCCGAGTTCTTGGACCACTGACTTCTATTTGTGGTTGGCACCACTGTCTGTCTGTTCCTTCCTTATAGATCTCCATATGTCTTCTCTATGGAGTCTTGCTTTGGGTTATTGCCTACTTTCCACCCCCTGGCAAAGAGCCTTAAGCTTATGTTCCTGCTCTTTCCCTAATTCAGTTTGAATTCTTCCCCTAAGCTTGAGTGCCACTCTTTGTCTCCATCATTCCTCAGATCAGATCTTGTGGATCCTGTCTGTGCAACTGCCAGACTTTGGTAGGAGTTGGTGAAGTTGAAAAACCAGTCCCCAAAGAGCTCCTAACATTTGTAAACAGATCCACTCTGCTGTCCAAGGGCAAGAACCCTTGTCCTTCTGGAAGACAGTCTTTGGTCTGAGGCCAGTCTTCTGTGCCTCCCTTAGGTCCTGAGCATGCTTGATTCCCCAAAGCTCTGCACCCCCAAATACTTCTGGCTCCTTTCTTATCTATCCTAGCAGATGCCATTATAGGGTTGGAGACTACCTGGAAAAAAATCACCTGGAGTCCATCAGGCACACAGAGAGCCAGCCCAATTCTCATGTATATCAGAATCTGGCACACAGAAAGTCAATAAAGGAATGAATGGTCCCTGGATGGGCTGGCCCAGGGATCTCCCTGGAGTTAGTAAAGTCTGTTCTTCTCACATCTAGTCTCTGAATGGAGAGGGATGAGACCCTCAAACTTCCCAGAACACCTGGAAAAGGAACACAGAGACATAAAAAAGATTGAATATAAGCTCAGAGAGGTCCAGGCCTCTTCCTTTGCTAGAAGCTTGGATAATTATCACTTGATATCACTTTTTAGTTTGCAAATCTTCCTCACCATTTGAAATAGGTGAGAGAAAACTTGGGAAAGGGAGTATCTAAGCACCTCCTAAGTGTCAGGGACTTGAGTTAGCATTGGTGAGACATAATAGACTCTGTTTGCCCACAAAGAACTTGTGTAAAGATATGAGAGGTGCCAAGGGACCTGGTGAAGATGCAGAATGGTGGGAGGAGCCACCATTCTGGAGGTTAACAGGTCAACAGAATTTTTGACTTGTGATTAGCAGTGAGTCCGGGGAAGGGAGAAAAAGGTCATTTTAGCTAGAGAGAAGTGCTAAAACACTGACACATGAAAGAAGAGCACAGTGACTCTGTTGACTGCGAGGCTGCACACTCTGATAAAGGAGTAGGTGACAAACCAGGCTGGAGAGTCAGCAGGGGCTCTTTTAATAGACTCTGGGTACTTCTGGAGCTTAGAGTCTCAATGGATCAGGAGACACACATATACAAAGTTAATGACAAGTATGGGAAACCTTCTTTTCTAGTACGGTGAGAGGACCGGTGCTCATGGGCATGTGATTAACAGCATCCCATTTTTTCATATTCTTGTAAGCAAATTGAAAATATGTGGGTTGGTTGATGCTAAGATCAGGTGGAATCCTAGTAGGCTGAATAAACTTTCCCTGAGAATTATGACAATGAATCAAGCACAAGCTAGAGGAAAAACTTTATTTTTTAACTTAAGGGACTGTTTTTTAAAATTTATCTTTAATTTTAATTTTTTATCCACTTTCACTTCTAGGGTGGTGAGGGAACAGGGAACAAGTTATAGGGATAGGTTCCTTTTCTTACTAAAAAACTCTACAATATACATTACAATCAAATGAAAATGATGATAATAAAACTCACAAAATAAGCTCCCAGAAAAACATGAGCATCTCATAACCTTTTTAAATAATTCAAAATGTTACTTTAAAAAGTCAAGTACTGATTACTGATTTTAATGTCCAAATGAGACGAATTTATCCTCCAAAAACTACTGGAAATAGCAGAAATGAAACTCTGGGACCAGAGAAGCTGATTTAGTGTGGGGGAGCAAGATGGTTCTTGCTAGTTGGTGAGGAGCCAAGAAGGCAAAAAGCCTTCCAGTGACCATCTTTTTAACACATTTTCGTTATAGTCTTACAAAATGGTAGGGAAGTCCATTACAATGTAAAGTAATGTTGCAAAGCTGCCACTTTAGGAGTCTTTGCAGAAAGGATGGAAGAGACCATGCCCAGTCTTCTTCGCCCCCAAGTACACTTCCATCTCTGTGGCAAAAAGCACCCAGACAGTTACACTTGGAAGAATGTTCCAGCAGTCAGAGCTCACTGAAGATAGAATGCATACCACAGCAATGTTGAACTTCCTGGCCCGGGATGTGAACAGATTGGGGTTGGCTGGCCACCACGAGGGATGACTGGTAAGGATTCTGTTGCAAAACAGCCTTAACAGGTCAACAGTCCAAAACAGTCCATCCTACTGGGTCTCTACTGGTCTTCCAGACATAGTTCTATGAATCAGCTATCTCAGTTTCAGTCTAGTATTTCAGACTGGGGTGAGATAAGTGTGTGTCTGAGGGTGAAGTCTCCAAAGGGGTGGGTTTAACGAAGTCCAGGTTGGGTCTGAACACAACTCTGCCTGTGCTTAGGTAAGAAGCATTTTTCTGGTTGAGTCTGTTTTCTCCTTAGTCAAGTGCTTCTATACTTACTTCACAGGGTTTCTGTGCAGATTACGTGAGTTATAAAGTATCTAGTCCCAGGGTCTGGCACCCTACAAGGGTTCAGTAGGAGAGCCTTTATTTCATTCCTCCCTTTTCAATCTCTATTGTCAGAATGCCTGTCATTTCTTCCCCCTGGGCCTGATTCTTTGGGTCACTGGTGTTGGAAGCTGCTTGCAGAGCTGACTTGGCAACCCCAAGCTCTGAGCGCAGCCTCTCCCAGCTGCACACATGGGAGGCGCCCGGGCAACATCTGGGAGCTCGCCAGTGCAGACAGGTATTTCCAGTCTGGCAAGAGAGGAAATAGGTGGAGGTGGGGATGGGAATGGGGGAGGAAATCGGATGAGCCCGGGACTTGGGTGGATCCCCTGGGAGAAGGGCGGGCAGTCGTTCTCCCCGCCTGGTGCTCCCGCCCCCAGGCTCAGATTTCCACTTTGTTGCCTCTGTGGCTCGCGGGTTCGGAGTCGGGAGAGGGTAGAAGGTAGGTTACAAAGGAAGCTGGGCGTGCAGGGAGCCTGCAAAGGCTCAGTCTCCCCAGGGGCACCGGCCTATCCTGATTGCCCCTCTGGTTCTCTGAGGCAAGCGGCTACCCGCCTTCCCACTCTTGGTGGTAGAGAGCTCCACGAGGGGGCGACCTGAGCCCACGTGCCATTGAGTCCTTCTCTCCAGAAACTACAACTCCCAGGCGGCTCAGGGGTCCCGCCCGCCTAGCCTGGCCTCTGTTGGCTCCAATTGGCCACCGCGGGAGGGGGGGGATTGGCGGTCTCCAGGGCGACGGGAGGCGCTCCGGGCATCCGAGGCGGGGAGGCGGGTCCGCCCCCTATTGTGTGGCTGCGAGAGCGGAGCCGAGCGGTGCAGAGCAGGTGAGGGCGGGGGTGTCCTGGGGGATAGAAGTGGGGTGCCGGCGGGGGCACGGGGAACGGTGCAGAGTTAGGGGGAAGCGGGGGAGCTCTGGAGAGAAGTGGAATTCTTTGGGGGAGGAGAACTAGGGGAGTTCTGGGGAGTAAAGTGGAATTCTTGGTGCATGGGTAGGGGTTCCCCGGAACTGGAGGAGTTCTGGAGATAATGTGGGGGAGTGCTGGGTGGGTTCCAAAAGAAAAGAAGAGTTCTAGGGGGCCGGAGAATGTGAGGGATAAGGGAATTATTGAGCACGGAGTATCAGAAGTGTGTTGTGGGCTGAAGCAGGAGATTTCCAGGGAGGGGAATTCCTAGGAAAAGATAAGTGGGTGGCTGAATGGGGATTCTGGAGACCATCAGGGAGTATTTTGAATCGCAGAAGACCTCCTGCAATTGGAGATCAGGTGTGAGAAACTGGAATTTCGAGGGGACTGTGAGAAGTAGGAATGATTGGGATGGGAGTTCCTGGGAGAATGAGGGAGTACCAGGTAGAGAGACCCAGAAGGAGAGGAAATGGGGGCCAGTGGAGTTGGAAAGGTCCCAGGAAAAATGAGGAATTCTGGGGATGCCTGGGTTACAAGGTTCTTGGCAAACTGTACCAGGAGAGAGCTGGGGGTTGCCATACTATACCCTTGGAAAAAAGCCTTTTCAGGGAAGTGTGGGAGAGCAGGCTAAGGGCGGTGGGAGACAGGGTAAGTGGTGTGGTGAACTGCCAGGAGCTAGACGCACATGGGCATTATGAAGACGTAAGGATGAGACTGCCATAGGAAACATTTTTTTTTAGAACCAGCATGGAACTGTGAGGCCAAGAGTGGGGTGGAGGCCCTGGAGCAGAGTCCACTTGGATTTGTCAGGCCTCCAGCAGGGCCCCTGGCTCACTGTGGCTGTCCTAAGATGGTCAAGAGTTCCTACTCATTTTGTGTATCCTAGGGACTAAGGCTTTTTTGGCTTCTTGTGGATCATGCCCCCAAGAGTTTGGGAAGGGAGTACCTGGCAAACCCTGGCACCCTGAGGATACTGGAGAGGTGTGAGTGGGAGGAATCGGGGTGAGGCACTTGAAGAAGGGCTGCTTGGCAGCATCATGAAGAGCAAGTGGTGCCAGCTTCAAGCCCTGGGACCTGCCCAGACCTGGAGGATTCTGCCTGGGCCCCTAATACCAGCGGCGGGGTGGGGGGAGGCAGCTCCTCCTCTCCCTGTGCCTGATTTACTGTCAAAGCCGTGGCTGAGTGGATAAAGATGCCATGGGGTTCCCCAGCCTCTGTGGCTCTTCGTAGAGGCTGGGAAAGGGGGACCCAGGGAGCAAGGGATTATATGGGGGTATCCTGCAGAGCACTTTCTTA